GGGTCAAAGCTGGCGTCATTCGCGCTTTTCATCGACGCATCGGGTCTCTTACGAGCCAGAACGAGACTCACGAAAAGTCCCTTGTTTACTCACGACGAGAAGAACCCTATCGTCATACCTGGCGAGTCCCGACTGGCAAGGCTCCTGATCATTGAAGCTCATCGCGTCAACGCGCACTTTGGAGTGACCAACGTGTTGTCACAGCTCCGGCGTCAATTTTGGACAACTCGGGGTCGTCAAATAATTCGGGGTCTCCTCAGCCGGTGTGTGGTCTGCAGGCGACGGCAGGGGCTGCCTGCCCGCCAGCTCGAGGCACCGCTGCCGGCGGAACGAGCCGCCTTGCTGAAACCATTCGAGACTGCCGGACTGAATTTCTGTGGTCCCTTCTACGCACGAACGAATGACGGCAGAGCAAAGATGTACGTGGCTCTGTTCGTTTGTACCGCGACGCGAGGGGTACACTTCGAGGTGGTTCAGTCGATGTCAACCATCCAGACTCACCTTGCCCTGCGCCGTTTTCTGAGCCTCTACCCAGCGTGCTCGAAATTCATCTCCGATAACGCGAAATCCTTCATCAAGGCGGCTACCGAGATCAAAGCGGTATTCAACTCGTGCAGAGACGAGAGAGTTCGATCGCTGCTGGCGGAGCGCAGGATAGATTGGGACTTCATCTGTCCACGGGCCCCTTGGAGGGGAGGGATGTACGAGCGCCTGGTTGGAACGTTCAAGCGCGCCTTGGTGAAGACTTTGGGTTCGAGTTATATATCGTTCGAGGAATTCCGCACGATCGTGGCGGAGCTCGGATCTGTCATCAACGACCGCCCGATTACGCATGCTTCTACCGATGTCGATGCCCCGACTGCATTAACTCCAGGTCATCTCCTGCGAGGTGGACCACCGACCGCGACTCTCGCCTCAGTGGAACCTCTTAACCGACTCGGTCCGAACGGCAGGGTAGATGGCAAAGAGCTCCGAGATGCGCAAAAGATGAAGACATCTTATTTCCGCAGCCTGTCCGTAAGATGGTACCGGGAGTACATTCTCATGCTCCGTTCAGCCAACCTCACGAGCGGACACGAGGCGGAGCCAATCCAAATCAACGACGTGTGCTTGTTAAAGGATGATAACCTGCCAAGAGTGCGATGGGTTTTAGTTCGAGTTCTGGACGCACATCCTGGCCGGGATGGCCTCGTCAGAACGTACACAGTCCGTTTCGAGAATGGGACAACATCACGCCGTCCCGCTCAACTGCTTATACCGCTTGAAGAAACTCTGGAAGAGAGGAGATCGGTACCGCTGCAGTCAGCGGAAAACTCAGAGAACGTAAATTAAGTTAGCTAAGGAATCGAAAATTCGTTTTGTAAATAAGATCATCCCCCAGAGCCTTGTGCCAATGTAACGAAAAACCCTACGGTTTTTTCCGGGGGCAGTGTCGATTATTGTGAGCCCGAGGTGCGCGTGTCGGATTTGAGATAGAGAGTCGTCACAGATAACGTGCTTGTGAGATCAAAATAAACCAGAGTATATTTTCCGTCCGTCGAATCGCATGCTTGAATTTCACATATGCCTCCTAGGAATCGACCGAGCCCTGAAAATTTGCGGGGAAGGAGCGAGGAAGACAACGAGTGTTATCTTAAAACCCTGAAGATATTCGTGTGGTTCGCGGGCGTATTCGCCTTTTTCGGGGCTATAGCCCTTATCGTGTATACGTTGCGTTCGGACGAACGAGATTACGTGGAAAAAGCCTCACGCGGCTTCGTATACATTGCGGCAATAGTGGTTCCAGTTTCCTCAATTATCGCATGTTTGAGCTTATTCACGTTAAGATTCAACAAAGTGCCCTGGAGATACATTCGAGTCGGCTTTCGGTCAGGGGAAACCCTGGAAGACATAGAGGCAGAGGAGTGAGTTCCGACGACTAATTCAACGAATTAAATGCTTCGAATGACGTTCATCTTGACAAGTCGGTCATTTTATCCCTACAGTTTCGAGTTGGAGCCTTTGGGATCGAGGAGCTCATAAGGGAAATTCTTGCAACGTGTCTCAGTCGAGAGCCTCGTTTACGACAACCTGCGCTCGGAGGAAGCACACAACATGTCGGATGCCGTCCGACGCATCCTCAAGGGTAAGTCCCTCATACGATGAGATCGATATGCAACGTTCCCAACATATCTTATCGAGTGTCAGGGGATCCCCTTCGATGCTATAGACAGAAGACTTCCTCGATTTCAGTTGGCGAGCTTTCGTTCGACGATTTCATGATACACATAGAGCGGATTGTGGTCAACGATGTCACCGATCATCTCGAGGGTATCCGAGATAGGTGAGCTAGAAGAACGCGTGCACCTTGAGGAATTACAATGTATCGGAATCGGGTTTATCGCGATGGAATTCCCGAGGATAGAAAGTGTCTCTTGATCCCGCATGGACGTTCCATTATTTTGTCTCCAGGCGCACTCGGAGCGTCTATCACGCTGTTGGATATTCGCACCTCTTGTTTTGCCGAGCAGGTCTCTCACTTCACAAGGTAATCTCGTCTTGATCGATATCGTTTTAATTATATAACGACCGCTGCTGCGGGTCACGCACTCGGTGATAACAGATCTTTCAATGAGATCTTAATGCACAGGACGATGTTGCAAGAGCGGTGGCAGCTTTGGCGGAAGCCACACAGTTTTGTCACGTCAGGAGAAAATCGACGTCAACCGTCTACCGAATGATGTTCAGCGAAGATTACAACTCTCATACGACAGAACAGGTAGAGCTGATTAACGATGATGCCGCTGCACTCGAATCTGCTCTACACCGACTTCCTTTGACAGCTCACAGATCGGGCGCACGAATTAAATATATTTATTCACAATGCCCCAGGCACACGCTGAACTCTGCTATGCGATTTGTTTGCTGGCGGAAGCGATCCCAACTATGGTCCAGGATCCCTCGTTCATTTCATTCATTCAAGGAGCTCTCAAGTTCCGGTCGTGTTACATGGCTTTCAGGTGAGTGCTATACCGAGTCGAACGATCCTTTGTCCAGTAGGGGGGGGAAATCGATATATGACAGTTTTCCCGCCAAGAGGCGACTATAAGATGTCATTCAAAGCGCGTACATTGCATGAAGCCTATGCGTATGACAGATAACGCCCATAGAGAAATATCACTGATTTTCCCTTCATTCCCATTGCCTCCTCGAAGAGAGTGCATCGCGTTACTCAAACAACGATCGTGGGGCGAACACGAGGAGAAGGTGCATTTCGAAAGCGGTGTCATGTGCGGGATTGGCGTCTACAACTTGGTGAGTAGAGCCTGAAGTTGATTAATCCCCCAATAAGATGACAATGACGTGATATATAATAGTAGCACTTGTTTGACGGTACGCTCTTGCAGATTATCTCATCGCTTCCGCAAAAAGTTTTGAATCTCTTGGAATTCATCGGATTCCACGGTGATGAAACCACTGGGGAACAACTATTAGTCCAACAGACGGAGAAGTTCGAAGGCTTCATGTCGCTTTTCAGCTGCATTGCTCTTCTAGTGCATCAGAGCTACCTCCATTATATTTTCGGTAAGATTTTAACTCTGGAGAAGCGGGACCGTGTGTTCTCCTCCACACGTTCGCACTTCAGTTTTCCCGATTCTGAGTTCCGGAATCTAAATCTTCCGTTTGATCAGGAAATGGCGACTGTAATCTCGAGATGGTCGACAAAGTTGTCCAGCAGTTCATCGGTAAATTCCCGAATGGAGCCATCGGTCTCTACTTCCAAGGTCGAGCGCATCAGATTCACGGTCGCATCGAACGCGCTCTGGAACAATTCGAAGAAGCAAACAAGGTGATGGACGACTTCATCCCCTTTGACGCGTTCTTCAACTGGGATCACGCCTACCTATATTGGTGAGTGACAGCAGTCCACGACACCGTAGACTCGGAGCTCCATTCATCGTCATCAATTCATGATTTCTTTTCCATTCAATCCAGCGTGCTGGGTCGTTGGGACGATGCTCTGAGGGTTCTGGACGATCTGCATCGGAAATGCAGCTGGTCGGAGGCGACGTCGTTTTACTTGAAGGGAGTCTGTACCTACATGAAAGAGGTAAGGCGATTTTGATGATCTTCTCCGCTCCGACGCCCTCGGTGGCATATCTTGAAAATACATTGCGCTCACGGAAAAATTTATTTGATTCAGATCGAGGGCAACATCAACAATAACGCCTCCGGCTCACTAGAAGGTGTTCACGACTTGATGTCCAAAGTTGCACCTTCCTGCAAAAGATAGCCGGCCGTACAATTCCGCTCGAAGTATTCTGCTCGATGAAAGCTCGCACTTTCCTGGAGCGCGGTCGACTCACGCTTCCCCACTATGTAGGAGCACTATGGGACGGCTATTTCTAATTGGAGCCGCATTGTTCGGCCCATTGCCGTGCACGCCAAGACCCTTGATGATTCGTATATGATCATTTCCAGGAACTGATGTACCTGTGGGGCTTCTTCAACATGTTCTCGAAGAACAATGACACACTGTCGAAAGTGAAGGCAGAAATCGAGACTGAGGTGGCTCGTATCAGGGCTTCGTACGAGAACGACGCTGCCTATCTCCCAGATTGGTGTCTCGTCAGGTTCTTGCAAGGCGTTATTCTCCGGTACGAGAAAAAGCTCGGCGCCGCTGAGGCAGCTTTCAGAGAAGTCATCATGCAGTGAGTAGTCCATGCTGTTCTACCCGACTCCATCAAATTCATTTTTGCATGAAATACTTTGTCTTGGTCCATCAATGGGTGATTGGAACCGCCTCTGGGTCAAAAGTGACTGAAGGGAATTTCTTCAATTCTAGCGGTCCGGAGTTGGGAGACGAGATTCACGTGTCTGCTTTCTCCTCTTTGGAGATGGGCTTACTGTACATAGACGACGACAATCTGGCAGAAGCGAAGGAGCAAATCAAGATCACGAGACAATACAGAGGATTCCCGCTCAGCATACCTCTGTCTTTCAAAGTTCACTCAGCGTATAAGCAAGTTAAGCGACTGCTAGAAGAAGACCCGTGCGACCAGGAAGACAACTGTTGAAGTCCTGGTGCTGCCCGCAGCAACCAATCGCCATGTTCAATCATATTCTCAATGAGACGGCTAGCTAATCGATTAATCAAACATCATCATACCTCGAAAAGATGGAGAGTTGATATTGATGCATGTCAATTACGTGTCCATGAGTAAACTTGAGCTGTGCTTGATGCCTTGGTACTTTATCCATACGTAGAGACTCGAAGTCCGCGCAAGGGGGTTGGTGGGCTCTTGTAACGCGGGATCGCTCCACTTGACTCTAGGCTACTTGTCCAGGACATCAATGAGAAAAAATGCTTCCACTCAGGCGGGATAAATTATATCCTGCAACACCTACGACAAGATTATCTGATCATCCTCGCGAGAAAAATAGCACGTCAGGTCATAAAGGCATGCGCAACATGCAAGATGTTCCACGCAGAAGCAGCAAGTCTGCCGACACCCCCTTACCAGCATTTCGAATCGAAGAGACCCCACCAGTCCATCACTTCGGGTGCGATTTCACGGGACCAGTTAGATACAAGAAGAATTCTGGCGAAATAGGAAAAGGATACATTCTCCTTTTCACCTGCGCAGTCACCAGAGCAGTCCACCAAGAATTAACGACAGACCTATCGACAGTCGAAGTTTTAGAAGCCTTAAAAAAATTCCTCAACCGGCTCCGCTCTGTGAGAACGATAACCTCGGACAACGGTCTATCCTTCCAGAGAGCCTCCGAGGAACTAAAGCTCATTCACGAGAACGTCAAGAACGGCGAAATTAGAAGACGAATCTCCGACCTCATGATCGACTGGAAATTCATCGTACCGATGGCACGGAATTTCGGGGCCTTCTACGAAAGACAAATCCAAACGATTAAGAGGCCATTCCGAAAGATCCTAGCATCCGCAGTCCCTCATTTCAGAGATTTAGAAATAATCCTCAGCGGAATCGAAGCAATGGTAAGCAGCCGACCGATGACCACGATAGCTTCAGGAGCGGATGAAATCGAAGCACTCTCGCCAGCCGACCACCTTTCCGGATACCGAGGAAGAACAATCATCCCAGAACATATATCGGAACCAAGCAAAGCGTCAGATGCGGATAAAATCGTATTCTCCAGGCGATGGAAATACCAGCAACGAATCCTCAGTTCTTATTGGAAGCGATATCACGACGAATATCTACAGTATCTGAAAACGGCCCACAAACAGACGCCTGTCGCGGCAAGACCCCTTAAAATCGACGAGGTGTGCTTACTCAAAGGAGAATCATACAAGCGGGCCTTCTGGCCGCTATGCA